CACCCTTCGCCCGCATCAGTTCTGACAGGGCTTCAGAACGGACGGTTTGCTTTAAAAACTCACAGCTTCGGTTTCCTTTTCTGTTTTTTAGACGTATTTTCATCTGGAGGAAATCAGACTTGTTAACTGCTGGTAGGTTCCTGGGTCCTTTTAGAGTGAACAGTATTGGCAGGAATCATGGCTAAGGCACTTGTAGGGGGTTGAGCTGGAAGAACCGGCCTATCCCACTATTTACTAGCTGTGCAGCAAGGGGCAACCTGCTTAAAACTGCTGCGTAGGCTCCTTCCCGGCCCCATAAGATGGGGGAAGTAACAGTGTCTACCTGAAGACGTAACTGTGAGGATGACATGGATTAAAATATCAAATAAGGCAACTAGTCCTCGGCACACCTTAGGCAGTATTATTACTAATGCATGGGTCGTGGTGGGGGCTGCAGGGGGTGGGGGTATCAGCTGTAGCGGGTAGAAGCAAGCTTGCTCTCGAATCCCAGGAAGCTTCTAGCAAGACGCTCCCAAACCACTGGGAGAACAGAGGCTTGGCTGGACCATCTTCACTTCTCATCGCTCCCTTCCTGCCATCTGCTCCCACCTTTTTAAAGGTTTTTTAAAGAGCAATTGTAGAGTCATAGCAGAATTTAGAGAAGCACAGACATGTTCCACACTCGCTACCCCCGCACATGCATAGCCTCCCCCATCACCGACTTTCCCGCCAGAGGAGGATGTTTGTCACACCTGGTGAGTCTACATCGACACAGCACTCACCCAGAGCCTGGTTCGCATCGGGTTCATGCTTGGTGCGGCACATCACGTGGGTTTGGACAAATGCCTAATGACTTGTACCCACCAATATGGCCGTTTCCCTGCCCTACAGTCCTCTGGGCTCTGCCTATCCGGCCCTCCCACCCGAGCCCTGGCTGGCACGCTCCTTTCACTGCCTCCTAGCTTTGCTTTTTCTAGAAGAGCACCTAGTTGGTATGCAGCCTCTCTATTTTATTCCTCGCCTGAGGATATGTTTATTGATTTCAGGGAGAGAGAGAAACACCACTGGGCTGCCTCCTGTATGCACCTCGACTCGATCAAGCCCCAATCTCTTTGGTGTACCGGACAATGTTCCAGCCGAGCCTCCGGGCCGGGCAGGGGTGGAGCCTTTTAGACTCGCTTCTTTCAATTCGTTACCTGCATTTACAGCTCCTCCACGTCTTCTCGTTTACCGTATTTTTCGGACCATAAGACGCACCAGTTTTTAGAGAAGGGAAATGAAGAAAAAAAGATTCTGAAACAAATAGTGTCCTAAAATATTTTATGTGCATTAAAACCCAACATCACAGTCATAAACACATGTAATCAACCCTGTAAAGTAAACAGCAGCATTTAGAACCATTTTAGAGCCGGGCAAGCACACAGAGACCACACAGAGCCGGGCAAGTAAAAAAACTTTTTTTTAAAGTATATGTGTAGGCTATATTTGGACCATAAGACGCAGGGACTTTTTCCCCCCACTTCTGGGGGGGGAAAAGTGCGTCTTATGGTCCGAAAAATACGGTACCTGATTTAGAGCTCAATATATTCTGTTGCCGGGATGTGCCAGTTACCCATTCACCCGCGGAAGGGCATCTGGCTTGCTTCTAAGCCCTGGCGGTTGTGAATGACGCTGGACACATCCACGACCAGGTGTTCACGTGGACATACGTCTTCAGCTTCTCTGGGTAAACCCCAAGGCGTGGAAGGCTGGGTCCCGCGGGAGGGGGTGTTCAGTCGCTGCTCTTCAGTGCGGCACTGCCTCTCATGGCCCGGCGCTCATCCCACTCCTGCCAGCTCTCAGAGGAGGGCCGACGGCAAGGTGAGGCGCAAGCACCCCGGTGCCCGCGCCCCTCCATGGAGCTCTGGGCGTGCTCACGCTGGTTCACGTCCATTCGCCTCTGCTTAGGCCTGCGCTCTGCTACCTGTGCTTTGTGGAGCGGGACACGTGTGTGTGTGTGTGTGTGTGTGTGTGTGTGTGTGTGTGTGAAGCTGCGATTCACTTTGTATCAGAAAACACTTGGTAGACAATTTTAAAGTCCATTTAAATTTTGGATTGTGTTTCTACTGAGTTCTGTTTTTTAAATAAATTTTATGATTTTTTTTTTTTTTTTTATTTTTTACAGAGAGAAAGGGAGAGTTAGAAAACCATTGATGAGAAAGAAACATGGATCTGCACACCTCCTAAGAATGTGCCCACAACCAAGGTACATGCCCTTGGCCAGAATTGAACCTGGGACCTTTCAGTCCACAGGCCCACACTCTATCCACTGAGCCAAACCTGCCAGGGCTTTTTGTTTGTTTAGTTAAACCAACATTTGCTCAGAGAGCCGAATTCACCAATGCAAATAATGAGATCATCCAGTCCCACCCCCGTTTTAGTCATTTTTAATTAAGGCTAAAGACAGACTTAACAATATTGAGACAACAAATATTTGAAGAGACACACTTCTTAGGCACTACTGTCCTTAAATGCACTAATAGTGGGCACAATAGAGTATCCAGATAAGAGTATTTTAATCAAACTGTCTTGTGTACTTCCCTGCGTTCATTATTAATCACTCATCTGCTGTAAGAAGCTTTGTGATCCAGCAGGACTTTACACTAGCTGGGAGACACCAGTCACATGAGAACACATCAGCCCATTTGCATTCATTCATGCATTCATTTCATAATTGTCTGAACTCCACATACATGTTGTGGAGATGCATAAAGGTTTTAGTTTAGCTGGATCAAATTTTGTTTCTTCCTCTGTGTGGCAGAGGGTTCCAGTAATGTCAACCTCCCACCTTGATGAGTTTACTAAATTGTTAAGAAAACAAGACAAACATGTAAAGCGACATATTAACACAGAGGCCGCGATTCTGTCTCAAGAGAGAGACAGACAAGGAATGGGAGGTCACGGCTCAGGAACGTGGCAACCCCAGGCCATGGCTGGAAGAGGCCTGGGAATCCCATTAGCACCAGCGCCAACAACTGGGGATTGAAGGCAGGTGAGCAAGCACTGAGCTGGTGACACACATCTCCTGGCCACAAGCCCGCCCTGTGTCCACAGGCTGGCAGTGGACAAGGCGCTGAAGCCCAGGCGCTGTCAGAGGACTGAGTGAGCCTGCTGTGTCAAGCAGGTGCCCGAGACAGGTGTGTGGCGGGTAACTCCAGGGAGATAAGCTGGCGGTTGTAAGACAGACGTGTAACCAGTGGGAAGAGCAGGCATGTGTGGCATGGGCAGCTGCACCTGCCCAGCAGACGTAAGGACGAGTGCACTGGTATAAGACCGGACAGGGGCACAGGCTGGCAGCACTTCCCCCTGAAGAGCAGATGTTTCAGAGCCATGGTCCCCGGCCCAAAGGCCCACTGAGGAGCCAACCAGGCTCTGCTCCTCAGGGTAACCCTCCTCATAGGACAGAAAAGGACCCAACTGGGCACCCCACATCCCCTGGTTTAGGAAGGACAGCCCAGCAGTGTCCCTGTCTTCCTCAGGGAAGGGAGACAGGGGAGAAGGCACCCTGTACTCCCGCTGTGAGTGTTTCCCTTGGGTTCTCCAAGGTCACAGACACACTGCTTCCTCGGTGTCAGCTTCTGAGAATGGACTAGAGAGCTTGGCCGGGTGGCTCAGTGGTTGAGTGTTAACCTATAAGCCAGGAAGCCATGGTTTGATTCCTGGTCAGCGCACATGCCTAGGTTGCAGGCTTGATCTCCAGTCGGGGGAATACAGGAGACAGCCGATTGATAATTCTCTCTGATCATTGATGTTTCTATCTCTCTGTGCCCCTCCCATCCTCTCCGAAATAAATAAAAATAGTTTTTTTAAATGGACTAGAAGATGCTACTTTTGGAAAATGAGCTGAGAGAGCAGAGGTCCAAAATCCTGGGTGTTTGGTGAAGTGTAGTAACTGGGAGATCTGAAGAACTGGGTGAGGAATTCAAGCATTGGGCAGAGAATGGGCCAGGCAGAGGGACAGTGCAGTCAGCAGTTCCGACAGAGGCAACACGGGCCCTGGAGTGCAGACGGCGCAAAGGTGGCCGGCCAGAGGGGCCATCCCCAGGGCCAGGCATTCCCCTGCCTCTGGCTTCTGACAAAGACGACACATGCACCCAGTCCGGCTGGGTGGGGAGCAGGGGAACCAGCACAGAGCGGGCGTGGAGCCGGACGATCCAAGGCCACCTCCCCAGCAGACACAGAGGAAGAGAAAGGAGAAGGGCTGTTACCAACAAGGAGAAGCCAAGGGCAAAGCAGCTTTGGCATCAGAAGCAAGAGGACAATCAGAAGAAAGCTTTGCAATCACTGGCTGGAAAGCAAAGCAGCCCGGCTGAGAAAGAGAAAGCCAGAGACAGGTTCCTGGAATTTACTCTCACCTCCTTCAAGAAACCATCCTGATCCCAGTGAAGTCCCCTTCTCCAGGGACACCTCCCCATCTCAGAACCACCTCTGCGTATAAACACTCCCTTCCTCAGCCCGCCAGGGGGCCTCCCAGCCCAGGCCCCAGCCCAGCAGACAGCCCTGGCTGCCACTTCCCCTCGCATTCTCCGCAGACACTCCCGCAGGTCCGTCCTGCTGCCCGGCGCCCCCATGGACGGTCCTGCCAGCAGAGACCATCTGGCACTGAAGGGAAGGGAGGGCAAGAGCAGCAGCCGAGAGCAGGCTCAGGTTCCCACAGGAACCAACGGACTGAAGTCGCCATTTCCCGTGAAAAGCACTGACTTCCCGGGCAGCCACAGGGCAGCTCAGCATAAGCCACAGTGGGCGTCCAGCCTTCCCAATGCTGATGTCCTTCAAGAAAAAAGTGTCCTCTACATAAACCACAGTGAGGTCACCACTCTCAAGACACTGGGACACCTTCCCCCCACTATTCTAATGTCTAAAAGGCAGACACATATAGGGAGGTTTTAGAGCCGTTTATACAAAAATAGTTGAACTACAATGCTTTTACCACCTGAAAATATGACATACAAGTGGACATTTGTAAGTTTCTTGTACCTTTCCTAAAAATAACAACGGTGGGCCACGTTTTAGAAGAAAACTATATTCTTTTAAAGAAAATGAAAACATTCTCAAAGGAAAAACTTAATTTAAGTCAAATCATAGCGTTGGTCCTGGAGCCCAATCCAGTGCTTTCCTGCAGGTGCTCCCCGCTCTCCGCCAGCGGCTGGGTGCTCCGCCAGCGGCTGGGTGCTCCGCCAGCAGGCTGGGTGCTCCGCCAGCGGCTGGGTGCTCCGCCAGCGGGCTGGGTGCTCCGCCAGCGGCTGGGTGCTCCGCCAGCGGGCTGGGTGCTCCGCCAGCGGGCTGGGTGCTCCGCCAGCGGCTGGGTGCTCCGCCAGCGGGCTGGGTGCTCCGCCAGCCGCTGGGCTCCCGGTTCTTCTCCGAGGCTGAAAGGTGGTGTGGGAAGTCCCAGCCGGGAGCCGGGGCGGGGGCCGGGGCGGGAGCCGGGGCGGGAGCCGGGGTGGGGGCCGGGGCCGGGGCCGGGGCGGGGGCCGGGGCGGGGGCCGGGGCGGGAGCCGGGGTGGGGGCCGGGGCCGGGGCCGGGGCGGGGGCCGGGGCAGGGGCCGGGGCGGGGGCCGGGGCCGGGGTGGGGTTGTGGCTGAAAACACCCACTGGAATCACCGTGCCAAATCCCAGTGACCAGAGGCCAAAGGCAGGGCTCCCTTGCAGGCCCCACACCGGCCTGTGGCCCCACCCAAACAAGGCACACACTGGCGGGCAAGCCGCTTAGGAGACAAAGACATGCGCCCCTTATGCCACCCACCGCCTGCCGTCCGCACCTGCTCCCAGCGCTCTGCACAGGGCCCTGGCCCATTCTGGACAGAAAACGCTCCATCAGGCGGTCTGGGAGCCTGGCCCTATGGGGGGGGGGGGATCTCAGGACATAAGGCCTTGGTAGGGCAGGGTGGGGAGGTGGGCAGAGCCCGCAGGAGGGAAGCGGCTGGAGGAGGCACAGACGGTGAATAAATAGAAGTAGCTTCGCCGTGGGGCCGGCCCCTCGGACAGCAGCTGGGCGGCAATTGGGGGGGAGGACGCTGGAGGAGGGGCGTCTGCGCCACCCTGGCCTGGGTCACCCATCCCACCTGCCCTCACACACACACACACTCACACCCTCACACCCTCACACACACACACATTCACACACACACACACACACACACACACACTCATACACACACACTCACACACACACACATACATTCACACACACACACACACTCTCACACACACACACACTCATACACACACACTCACACACACACACACTCACACACACATACATTCACACACACACACACACTTACACACTCATACACACACACACACTCACACTCTCACACACACTCACACACACACACACTCACACAATCTCACACACATTCACACACACACACTCTCACACACACACTCACACACTCACACACACACACACACTCACACACACACACTCACACACACACACACACACTCACACACACGCACTCACACACATGCACTCACACACACTCACACAATCTCACACACATTCACACACACACACTCACACACACACACACACACTCACACACACACTCTCACACACACACTCTCACACACACACTCACACACACACACTCACACACACGCACTCACACACACGCACTCACACACGTGCACGTGCGCAGGGCCAGGGTCGGGCCCCAGCCCCTCAGGCCGGTAGCTCAGAGCTGGGTGACGTGCACAGCAGGGGCGGGCGGCGCAGGCCGGAGGCGCCGGAGGTGGCAGCGCCGGCACAGCAGGTGGCCCTCCAGCGGGTAGCAGCGGCGGCCGTCCTCCCCGCTCAGCTGAAGCCCGCAGTCCTAGGGAGAACACGGCCCACCTCAGGGTGCTGGACGGGGCGGGACCTCAGGTGACGGGTGTGGAGCAGATTGGGAGGCTCTGGTAAACGTCCAGCGGACTCCGGCTTTATTTTCGGGTGGGGCATCAGGAGCCCGGGGTGGGACACATGGAACTGGGTGCTTCTTGGAGGAGGACATAAAACGTGACAAAACAGATTACATCTCCCTAGGAGCACAGAAAACTAGGAGAGGAGAGGGCAGACGGCTTGAGCATGAAGCTCCAATACAGAGAAGAGGCCTGGCTGGCACGGCTCAGTGGGCTGAGCATCTCCCATGCACCGAAAGGTCGCCAGTTCGATTCCAGTCAGGGCCCGTGCCCAGGTGGCAGGCTCAATCCCTTGTCAGGGGTGCATGCAGGAGGCAGCTGGTTGATGTTTCTCTCTCACACAGATGTGTCTCTTTCTCTCTCCTTTCCTCCCTCTGTAAAAACTATTTTTTATTTTTAAAATATATTTTTATGGATTTCAAAGAGGAAGAGAGAGACAGAAACATCAACAATGAGAGAGAATCACTGCCCAGCTGCCTCCTGCACGGTCCACACTGGGGATCGAGCCTGCAACCCGGGCATGTGCCCTGACCAGGAATGGAACCGTGATGTCAGCCGACACTCCATCACTCAGCCATGCCAGCCGGGCGCTCTAAAGTCAATGTAAGCCCTAGCTGGGTTGGCTCAGTGGGTAGAGTGTTGGCCTGTGGACTGAAGGGTTGGTCCCAGGTTCAATTCCTCTCTGAAATCAATGAAAAATATATTTTAAAAAATAAAATCAATTTTAAAAGGAAAAGCGATTTGAGGGGAAAACCAAAGGGAAGAAACCAAAAATGAATGTCCTAGGGGCACTGGGACCAGTCAGCGCGCAGAGAGCTGCGGGAGGTTGGGGCGGTGACACTGAGAGGTGTCAACGCCTGGGCCAGTGGCCGTAAGAGAAATGGAAGAGAGAAATCGGTGGTATCAAGTGAACAAGTTCTGCTCTGAGTCCTTCATCAAACTGTTTTCTCTCCGTGCTGTACTTTATAGGCTAATTTTGTCTGTCTGTTTAACAAGTTATGTGACTGGTATGTGACGGCTGTAAAAAAAAATATATATATATGCAGGAAGTGTGAGGCGCAGCCATGGAGGAGGTCAGAGACGGTGGAACACAGGCAGGACCAATTGGACTTCTTCCTTCCTTTGCCTCCTACCTCAAGGAGGCGCCAGAGCTGAACTCCTGCCTCCCGTTACCCAAAGGCCCTGAGACCAACACCTGCCTGCCCCCACAGAAGTGAAGGAGCTGGAAGACTGCGATGGAGCCTCACGGTCCAAGCCACGCGTTTCAAGTGTCCCCCCACCCCCACCCACCCCCGTCCTGACATCGCCCCCTGACTGGGTCCTGCTATTCATTATCACACACCAGAGAGGGGAGGAGAGAGGGGCCTAGAGACTCTAGTTCCCATCTAAGAGCCACAATCCCGAGGGGCTGGTGGGGGCCACCTACCGCGTGGCCCGCTCCTTACCCTAGAGATTGTGCTTAGCGATCGCCAGGGAACGCCGCCCTGTCCGGGACCGCAGAGCAGGATCCGTCACTGCTGAGGGGGATCCATGATCCTCCCCCCGTTCCCCGCTCAGGACTCCTGTTCCCGCTGGGCCACTTGCCCCACCAGGACAAGTGGTTCCCATGGACCTTTGATGACTGAAGATTTCTCCCTCACACTCCCCCTCCTGCTCTTCCCAGGGCTCTGAAACCCAACTGCTCCCCCAGGTTTGCTCCTTTCCTCCTACCTCCTCACTCCCTCACTCGTGGCCTCCCCGTGTGGCTGCTTTGCCTCCAGCATCTCCCAAACATGGCTGCTCATGAGCCCTGGCTCCTTCCTGGAGGTCCCCCCCTCCCCGTTCCTCCCCTGGCTTCCCAGCCGTCTGCAGGCTCGGGATGGGGCTGCTGCTTCAGGCCCTGACAGGAACAAGGACTGGACTCCCCATCCTGCTTTTAATAATGAAAAGCCAGGCAAAATACATGCAAAATGGATTCTCAGACCCTAGGCCACAGGCAAGGCAAGCGGTGATCTCCGAGAGAAGGCGACCCTACCCCCCAGGGCCGCCCAGAGCGCCCACTAGTCCTCTTGGCTGAGGAGCAGAAGCCGAGGTCTGGTAACCACAGGGCAGAGCATCGGAGAGGGAAGGGCTGTATACGCCATGACTCCCAGGTTCCTGTACCTGTGACCAGAGCCTTTGAGCTCCAGCACATCTACCTGCCGCCTGGGCATCTTTATCCAGGTGTCTCCAGCTGCCAAAAATGAGGGCATCTTACTTATCCCCCCCCCACTCCATTCACCCTCACTCTCTCCTGGGGTTCTAACGGACACCTCCCAACCCCCAAAGTCCCACATCCAATCACTGACCAAACCCAGTCCTTTTTACTGCCTAACCATCCCTCAGCTCGATTTCCTCTCTGAGCCCAGGACCACAGCCCTGACACCAGCAGCCTCTTCAGAGAAGCCCAGCCCCGTCCCTTTCTTCCCTACATTCTCTGCAGGGTGCTGAGTGCGCTTTCTAAAACCCACCCTTTCTGATCATTCTCCACTGCCCAGGTAAGTCCACACTCCTTAGCTCATGTGGCCTTCTGTCCCCAGCTCCTGCCAACCTCTCTAGTGATACAAACAACACACACACCTTCACACCTAAGCACGTTCTGCTTCGATTATCTGAAAATGCCTCCTCACTGCCTCCTTGGCTCTTATTCACCTTTCAAACCCTCCAGGAGTCTTCCCCCATTTTCCAGGACCCCCTACGTGCTACAAAAACTCCCCTTGTTGGCAATGATGACCTGTAGAGACTGCCCGAGTCTCTGCCTCCCCCATGGGAGTAGGGACTATAACCTATGTCATCCACAACACCCCACACACGTTAAACTGTTAGGAAACAGGTTGAGAGAGAACATGTCTGTGGACTGGCTCACTGGGGTGGGGGGTGGGGGGGGTGGGGGGGAAGACAGGGAGAATGGGTGAGAAACCATAACAGAGGGGGTGTGCTCACAGAACACCTAGAGAGAAGGGAACCGCCCAGCCTCCAGCCTCCGGGAGGACAGGCTCACCTCACAGTGATAGCACTCCACATGATAGTCTCTGTCCATGGACACCACCCGGATGGTTGTCTCACAGCCCTGGAGGAAGAGATGGGGTTCACACACAATAAGCAAGCTGGGGTTTGAGGTGAATTGTGCATGGGGGCACCTACCTAGCCCGGGTGCTGTGTCACGGTAGATGTGCATTCGTGCCTGTGTGACACTGACTCAGGGACGGAATGGGCATCAGTAGACGCACATGAATGGATGTGCATGTGCCAAAAGCATGCACACGTGTCCACGCGAGCCATCACGTGGGTGTAAACGTGCAGGTACATATTCTCTTCAGTTCTTTGGAGTCAGGAGACCACTGCCAGTCCTGCTTCCCCAGCGTGGGACAGAACCAGCACATGTGGGAGGCCCAATGCCCGGGAGAGCTGCACTACCCAAGGGGTCTCCTGCACAGACTGCCCACCTCACCTCCTCTCCCCCCCACACCTCCACTGCAGAGTGAGAGACCCAGGGAGCAGTCCTTCCTTCCACCGATGGGCAGTGCAGCCGAGCATGGCGAGCAGCAGGGACCACCACTTCCCTCTAACTCGCGCTGGCACACCACGCTCCGTACCCCTGGGCACAGACCCACCCCTCAGCCCTGAGCTCACCCCTCCCACAGGGGCCAAGAGCTGGGGCTGACGCAGGCGGGGCCTGGCCCCCGCTGGGCCAGCCACCTCATCATCTCCTGGTGAGCGGTCTTACCTGTGCAGGGAGAATAGGACGAGCACAGGAGGCACATTTTGGCGCAAAAGCCCTGGAAAATAAAGGAAACCAGAAGTGACCCGCTGAGTGGCCACAGGCCAAGGACACAGGGCAGGCCTGCCCACAGCAGCCCCATGACCTTGCCCACCGCTTCTGCCATGCCTTCTTGGCACTGGCCCTTTATCTGACTCTCCAATGCCCCTCCTTCCCATCCCCTCCTCCAGGGTGGCTTCAGGGTCCACTGAGCACTCTCCCTCATGTTTCCTGCAAGGTCCCTGCCCCCGAATGTATGGACCGCCCCAGGTATGGACCGCCCTCTAGCTGAGATGCCTTCAAAGCTGGCTCCACACTGAGTAACAGGACCTACGCCAGGTACCAACCCCAGGCATGGCAGCAACACGGGACCAGAGCTCCGAGGGCTGGGCCTGGAGTCACAGCAGGGGAGAATGGATGGCTGCTCGCGTGAGTACCGGACAGGCAGGAAAAAGAACGTGTGGAGGCCCCTACCCCCACCCCAGATAAGGATGCCTGGCCAGGGACAGACGGATAGAAGCGAGGTATGGCACAAGGGGAGTCCTCAGCACTAGGAGAAGGGGAGCATGCAAGGAAAGATGGGGAGAGAAAAGACGTGGCTGGTGGCTGAACCATCAAGAGATCTGCAGTCTGACCCAACCACTGGGCACACAAGGGGAGGCTGGAGTGAAAAGGTCAGGGAGGGAGAACGAGCCCTAGCTGGGTTGGTCAGTGGTTAGAGCATCGACCCTCAAGACTGATGGGTCACAGGTTCGATTCTGGTCAAGGGCAGGTACCTCGGCTACAGGATCGATCCTCAGCCCTGGTAGGGGCATGTGCGAGAGGTAACCCTCGCTCTCCCCACCGCCCACTTCCCTTCCTCCCCGTCCCTTACATTCTCTTTTAAAAAAATGAACCGAAAAATATCCTCAGGTGTAGATTAACAAAACAAACAACAAAAAAGAATGGAGACCACAGACAGGCGGGCCAGGAAATGTTTCCAGGGGAAGCAGAAGACACAGCGGGAGTCACGCCGGCCACTCACGTGTGATAGTCTCGGACACAGTAGATGTTGTTCTCCGCGTCCACGGTGAAGGGCACCCCGTCCAGGCACTCGTTGCACACGGAGCACCGGAAGCAGCCGGGGTGATAGGACTTCCCGAGGGCCTGGAGGATCTGGGGTGGGAGGCACTGCAGGGTCAGTGCAGGCGGAGCTCAGCACCACCCCGGACTGGCTCTGGCTCTGAGCCCCTGGCAGGTCTGCAGCAGGTGAAAAGGGCGGGCTCCTAAGTCTGCCCACGCCAGAGGGCTCCAGGAGGCTGGGGAGGTTCTCACCATCTCCATGATGAGGTGTCCACACACGCTACACTTGTCAGCCGTTTGCTGGAACCCGGAGTACTAGCAAGGGACACAGGATCCAGGGGGTTACGTGACAAAGGGGCACCCTGCCCAGCCAGCACCTGCCTCCTGGCCTCAGGTCTCCGTAGGAATCAGGAGGGTCCCTGCCCTGCTCCACCCAGGGACCAGCCAGTGCTCAGCCTGACTCACCAGGAAGTCCTCCTGGCAGTACACTTTCTCGCCCACGTTGTAGAACGCCTTCCCACGAAGCCGTCTCCCTGCAAGGACGAGGGTCGAGAAAGGGTCCCTGGGCCGCTGGAAACCAGGGAGGGGTCCCTGCTGCCATTTCTCAGGACCCTCCTCCAACAGACCAGGAGCGGATTACAGACAAATTTTAAGTTTTCCCTTTAATGTGATGTTATCATCATTATACGAATTAATTTAAGTGTATTTTCAATTATAGTTGACATGCATTAAATTAGCTTCAGGCGTACAGCATGGTGATTAGACATCTGCATTACTTACAAAGTGATCACCCCAGTAAGTCTAATTCCCTGACACCACACAGTGTGTACAGTATCACTGGCTATGTTCCCTATGCTGTGCTTTATTTCCTTGTGATTCTTCCGTAACCATCAGTATCACTTCTTATTTCACCTTTTACCCAGCCCCCAAACTCCCTTCCAACTGGCAACTATCAGTCTGTTCTCTGAGTCTATGACTGTTTCTGTTTTGTTTGTTGCTATATTTTAAAATATTTTAAGTGAATTATAAGGTATTTATCTTTCTCTGTCAAACTGATTTCACTTGGCATAATACCCTTTAGATCTACTCATGTTGCAAATGGTAATACTTCATTCTTTTTGATTAATATATCATTATCCTACATAGTAAAGCGGTAATATGCAAATTGACCCTCACACCCTCACAAGATGGCTGCCTATGACCATCAAGGGGTTAGTGAGACAACCAAATGACTTAACAAGCAGGCAGTGTGGGGCAACCAGGCCAGCGGCGGGGGGGAGGGGGGGGAGGGGGGGGTAGTTAGGGGCAACCAGGCAGTCGGACAGGTGAGCGATTAGGAGACAGTGATACAGGATTGAGAGAGGGATGTTCCACTGCCAGTCAACCTGCAGTCAGACATCCCCCGAAGGGTCCCAGATTGGAGAGGGTGCAGGTTGGGCTGAGGGGGACCCTCCTCCCGTGCACAAATTTTGTGCACCGGGCCTCTAGTATATTGTGTACATCACACTTTTTTATTCACTCATCTACTGATGGGCACTTTGGGTGCTTCTTGGCTGTAAATAATGTTGTAACAAACACAGGGATGCATTTATCTTTTCAAATTCGTGTTTTTGGATTTCTTTGGATAAAAAACCCCAAGTGGAATTGCTAGGTCATGTGGTCATTTTAATGTTTTACTGTTTTCCCTGGGGACTGCACCAATTTAGAATCCCAGCAGTGCACAAGGATTCCTTTTTCTCCACATCCTTCCCAACACTTGTTTGTTGATTTATTTGTGACCGCGTTTCTGACAGGTGTGAGGTGAGAGCTCATTGTGGTTTCCATTGGCATTTCCCTGATGATTAGTGCTGCTGAGCATCTTTCCATGTAGTAATATTTTTTAGGGCACTAAGTTTTATTTTTGGGGGTGGGGGAGGACACCACACTTCAGCAGCGATTAGATATGTGAGTAAGCCGCAGGCCGCACTGAGGACAAGAGGGCACTCCTCCACCAGGACGGCACTGCGAAAGCGCACAGCTGACCGCAGGCATGAGGTGATGCCGGGAACCAATTCCAGCATGTAATAAATACAGGAGTTTCATCAAAAGGTTGGTGAAGCCCAAACCAGTGTGGCTCAGTGGATAGAGCGTCACCCTGCGGACTCAAGGGTCCCAGGTTCAATTCCGGTCAAGGGCATGTACCTTGGTTGTGGGCACATCCCCAGTAGGGGATGTGCAAGAGGCAGCTGATCATTGTTTCTCTCTCATGGATGTTTGACTCTCTCCCCCTCTCCCTTCCTCTCTGTAAAAAAATTTAATAAAATATATATTTTTTAAAAGGTTGGTGAAACTTGGGCAGCTTAACAAGGGTGACCACATATGTAGTTTACTTGTTGTAAATGGCACTTCCCCCAAACCTGAATAGGATTGTCTGCTGCCAGACAGCTCAGGGCGTTTTATTACCTCCTGTGGCCAAACACCTGAACAGCTGTAGGCTATTCCCCAAACTGGTAATGCTTCTGTATACCCTTTGAAACCTTACCCATTGATGTGTATATCTCCACTTTGCCTTGGGACAAATTGTGTTTAACAAAAGCATGGGTCCTTAGACCCTTTAGCTCCTTTAGCTAAAGATCCTCTGACCCCCAATGCCTTTCAAAATTATCTTTCGTTGCCGAACTGGTTTGGCTCAGTGGATAGAGTGTCGGCCTATAGACTGAAGGGTCCCGGGTTCGATTCCGGTCAGGAGCATGTACCTTGGTTGTGGGCACATTCCCATTGCGGAGTGTGCAGGAGGCAGCTGATTGATGTTTCTCTCTCATTGATGTTTCTAACTCTCTATCTCTTTCCCTTCCTCTCTGTAAAAAAATAAATAAATAAATAATATATATATATATATATATATATATATATATATATATATTTTTTTTTATTTTTTTTTAATTATCTTTTGTCTCCGGACTCTTTGATCATCTACTCGAAGCCCCTTTCTCCAGAATGCTGAACCCTTTGTAAGTCTGGGAAAAGAATCCCCACAAAGTGATATAGTAAATGCACTAGCCCTACTCCACAGGGCAGTAAGATATGGAAATGAACGTAAAAATTGGGAAGAAAAAGTAAGACTTTTTAAACACAGACATTATGTTATGTAGAAATTCATAAGAAATCTAAAAAAAAAAAAATCCCTAGAACATGTGAGTTTATCAAGACTGTAAGATAGTCAGCATGTGAAAAGCAAATATATTTTCATAGTCTGGCAACAAATGATTGGAAATGAACATAATTTTTAAAGTTACACTTATAATAGTATCCAAAAAATCCATAAATACTAAGGGATAAATTTATTGAAAGGCATGCCTGAACTTACTCTGAAAACTAAACTTTGCTGAGAGAAATTGTAGAAGACCCACGTGAACAGAGAGGCATGCCACTGCTGGCAGGCAGCGCTCCCTGGGTCGCCGCAGTCTGCACATCTTACACACCGAGCTTCAGGTTTCATTCTGGATTGTCTTTCCTCCTCTTTTTGTTTTCTGTTAACCTCACCTGAGGATATTTTTCCCACTGATTTTCAGAGAGCGTGGAAGGGCCCTAACTGGTTTGGCTCAGTGAACAGCGTGTAGGCCTGTGAACTGAAAGGTCCTGGGTTCAATCCCCAATAGGGAGTGTGCAGGAGACAGCAATCAATGATTCTCTCTCATCACTGATGTTTTATTATTTTTTTAAATATATTTTATTGATTTTTTACAGAACGGAAGGGAGAGGGACAGAGAGATAGGAACATCGATGAGAGAGAAACACCGACCAGCTGCCTCCTGCACACTCCACAATGGGGATGTGCCGGCAACCAAGGTACATACCCTTGACCAGAATCGAACCTGAGACCCTTCAGTCCACAGGTCTACGCTCTAGCCACTGAGCCAAACCAGTTTCGGCTCATCATTGATGTTTTCTCTCTCCCTTCCTCTCTGCAATCAATTTAAAAAATTTTTCAAATGACACAAAAATATACAAAGCAAATGACTTGTATTTTAAATAAATAAATAACAGAGAGTGTGGAAAGGAAGAAGAGACGAAGGGAGGGAAGGAAGGAGGGAGGCAAATCAATTGGTTGCCTCCTGAACATACCCCGACCAGGCCCAGGGATCAAACCTGCAACCCAGGTACGTGCCCTTGACCAGGAATGGAACCTGAGACCCTTCGGTGTGAGGGCCACTGCTCTAATCACTTAGCAACACCAGCCAGGGCATGGATTATCTTTCCAAGGACATCTGTGGAGCAAACTGTTTAGAAGGCAGAGGTAGCATCTCCCTCCGAAGCTCGGGGCAGGCTTGTTCACTGCCCAGAGTAATAAAGATGCGTTCCTCCAGGATGAGGGTCAGAGAGCTTTGCTGCCAGCCCATTATAAAATACCGGGGTTCCCTAAGCTCGGTGCTCCTCAGCCCTGACTCAGACCACAGCATGTGCAGCGTCCATCAAGGCCACCCCACGTGACCCCTGTGGGACTCAGGAGGGCAAACATGATGTGAACGTTAGTGACATGCGTGCAGCTTGCGGTGCTGAGAGTCTGCCCAGGCGGCTCATGTCTTCACTCAGCATCCGTGAAATGGGGCAGGCTGACTGGTCAGCTTGCAAGTAGGAAAAAATCTCTCTCAGACCCTGAACAGCCCCTGACAACCATCTTCATGGCTTCAGATGCTGCTTTTAGTTCTCCCCAAATTGATCTATACATTCAAATGCTTTCTTTTAAGAATAGCTAAAATTTATTTAAAACCAATAAAATACATTTTAAGACAAAACCTCAAGAAACAAAAGCTTAGAATTTATACAAAAAATAAACACTAGTTTGATAAGATATAGAAAAAATGAATTATTACACAACTTGGGATTTGAAATAGTTTAACTGAAAATGGATATGAGCCCCTTTTTTCTCTATTTTGCCCAAACAAAATGCCAGCACTCATTTGTGTGTGTGTGTGTGTGTGTGTGTGTGTGTGTAAACTGACATGCCAATTTTGAAATTTATATAAGAAAAAAAAGTCGAAACCAGTTTGGCTCAGTGGTAGAGCGTCGGTCTGCGGACTGAAAGGTCCCAGGTTCGATTCCGGTCAGGGGCATGTACATTGGTTGCGGGCACATCCCCGGTAGGGGGTGTGCAAGAGGCAGCTGGTCGGTGTTTCTCTCTCATTGACGTTTCTAGCTCTCTAGCTCTCTCCCTTCCTCTCTGTAAAAAATCAATAAAAATATATTAAAAAGAACATCGAATAGCCAAAATAATCTTTTTTAAAAATATAATCTTTTTTTAAATATATATTTTTTATTGATTTTTACAGAGAGGAAGAGAGAGGGATTGAGAGTTAGAAATATCTATCAGCTGCCTCTTGCACACCCCCTACTGGAGATGTGCCCGCAACCAAAGTACATGCCCTTGACCAGAATTGAACCTGGGACCTTTCAGTCCGCAGGCCTACGCTCTATCCACTGAGCCAAACTGGTTTCGGCTAGCCAAAATAATCTTGAAAAAAAGACTGACAAAGCGGGAAGACTTATAAAACGTCCTATATTAAGACTTACAGTAATCAAAGACAGTGTAATAATATTGGGATGAGACAAAAAATTGGTGGAACAGAACAAAGTCCAAAAATAGACCCAGAAATATTTCAACAAACACACAAGTGGGAAAACAAAGTCTTTTTCAGCACATAGTACTGTAACAACTGAATATCCATGTGGAGAAAGAACAAAATTCAATTTCATACTTCACAACATACACAAAAATTAGTATGAAGTGAGTCATCAATCTAAACATAAAAATGGGAAACCTAAAGCTTCCAGAAGAAAATAATGAAGACTATCTTTATGACTCAAAGGAAGACAAAAAAAAATAGGTCACCAAAAAATAGTAACTATAAAACAAACAAAAAACTGACACATTGGATTTCATCAAAGTGTGAAATTTATCAAAAAATATATCATTAAAATGTTTTTAAAATCACACTAGGAAAAAATATTAACAAAACATATGTGAGCCCTAACCTAACTGGTTTGGCTCAGTGGATAGAACGTCGGCCTGCAGACTCAAGGGTCCCAGGTTCTTTTCCGGTCAAGGGCATGTACCTTGGTTGTGGGCACATGCCCAGTGGGGGGGATGCAGGAGGCAGCTGATTGATGTTTCTCTTTCATTGATGTTTCTAGCTCTCTATCCTTCTCTCTTCCTCTCTGTAAAAAAACAATAATATATATATATATTTTAAAACATACATATGAAAAGAATTTGTACTTAGAAAATATATATTTTCCTAAAACTAAATAATGAAGACAAATAACTCTAAATTTAAAAATGGAACAAAAGACGTGAACAGACTTCACCAAAGATGATATAAATGGTCAAACAGCAGACAAGAAGATATTCAACCTCATTAGTCCTCTGTGAAATGCAAATTAAAACCACAATGAGATACCTCTGCGCACCTACTAGCCTGGCTTAAACTAGCCCACCCGTGTGGTTCACTGGCAGAGCATCAACCATGAACCAGGAGGTCACGATTCCATTTCCGGTCAGGGCACATGCCCAGGTTGTGGGCTTGATCCCCAGTAGGGGGTATGCATTCTCTCTCATCATTGATGTTTCTCTCTCTTTCTCTCTCTCTCTCTCTCTCTCTCTCTCTCTCTGAAATCAATAAAAATATATTTTTTAAATGGCTTAACTTAAAAAGACTAAAATACCAATTGTGGGCAAATATGTAGAACAACCCAACTCGCTTATATTTCCAGTGGGAGTATAAAATGGTACAAGCGATTTGGAAAACAGTTTGGCAGTTTCTTATTGAAGTTAAACATACACTTGGCCTATGACCCAGAAATTCCAGTTCTTGGAATTTACCCAAGAGAAATGAAAACATTTGTCCACAAATGACCTGTACAAGAATGTTCACAGCACAATCTAGTATCTACCCACACTTAAATGGATAAATTGTATTCATACAATAGACTCCTAATCAGCAATAAAAAGAAGTGAGTTACAATTCCTTTAGTCTATGTGTAACATGGACAAAAAAAAAAAAAAGACACGCTTATAAAAAAATCAATCACAAAAATAGTACATACTACATTACTGCATTTAAAAGATGAAACTACCGTTTCCCAAAAAATAAGACAGTGTTTTATATTAATTTTTGCTCCCAAAGATGCGCTAGGTCTTATTTTCAGGGGATTTCTTATTTTTCCATGAAGAAGAGAAGAATATGGTATACATTTATTGTTAAATGAAAATAAAGGAAATTTATTACCTGTATACGGTACGGTAATATGGTAGTTGTCAACACAAACCAGACAAACTGTGAATCCTACAGTATCAAGAATTTACTCATTTATTCAATGACAATCATGTCATCATCTTCTGGAATACCATAACAATCCAATTCCTGAATTTCCTGGTGAATTTCTTGTGACTCCATTTCTTTCAGAATCAGTGGACCAAATCTCTCATGTTTAGCCTGGGGGGGCCTTATTTTCGGGGGGATGCCTTATATTTCACTCAGAAGGAAACCTGTAAGTAGGTCTTATTTTCGGAGGATGTCTTATTTTCGGGGAAACGAGGTAATCTATGGCGGCAGCAATCAGAACACTGGTTAGGTGGATGTGATGGGAAAGCAGACGGGGAAACTACAAAAAATGCAAGACAGAAGTTTCTGGGATGTTTATGTTCTATATCTTTGTTAGGGTTGTCAGTTACATAAATATAGACACTCATCCAAAATCTTTTTCCTATAGCTCTGAAGCACCGTCCCTTACACCAAGGGATGGCAGGTTCAGTCCCTGGTCAGATATGTGCAGGAGTTAACCAATCGATGTTTCTCTCACCCTGATGTTTCCTTTTCTTAAAAAACTGCATGCCCACTACTGGGAATCTAGCCCACAGTCTGGGTATGTGCCCTTACAGGAAATTGAACCAGAGACTGCAAACAACTGAGCCTGCCCAACCCCCTCTCTCTAAAATCAATTTTTTTTTAATGTGTTTGATGTCATACTTAAGATCTGTTTGCTGTACTGTATGTAAATTGTACTCAGTTAAAAACAAAGATAAACCTAGGGCATCTGTGCTTGAGTAGGAGTGCTACAAGAATGATGGGGATATGTCAAAGGGCACAGGAGCCAACTGGAAAGGAGTTAGTCTGGCCCAGTGCATCATAAAGAATAATGACTGGCCCTGGCCAGTGTGGCTCAGTTGGCTGGCATCACCTTGCAGTGAGAGGTTGTCAGTTCAATTTCTGGACAGGACACATGCCTGGGTTTGGGGCTCTATCCTCAGGAGGGGGTTGCAGAAGGCAGCTAATAGATGTTTTCCTCTCCCTCCCCCTTCCTCTGGTTCTAAAAATCAATTTTAAAAATCTTTTTTTTTAATGTCTGTATTGCAACACATTGCATGAAAAGCCCATGAGTATGTAAGAATACTCACAAAAGAGCAAAATACATTTCGCCCATCTAAGTTTAAAATTTTTCCTTAATAGAAAGGTTTCAGACGTTCCCTAGGGAAATGCAACTTCAACACAGACCTCAACAAATTCCCACAGGCATATTCCACAATCAAAAATTATAAAACACATGCGAAAACAAAGTCTCATGACTGAGAGTGAGGAGAAACAGTAAACAGTAGAAATAGGACTTCAAAAGAATCAGATACTGGGACTATTAGATGCAGAATACACAATAGGTATGTTTAATATGCTTACAAAATAAAAACAGATGTTTACAACATGAGACTACAAAGATTTTTCAGGAAGAGCATTAAAAGCAGTAACTATAAACAAAGAATAATTATATTTTATTAAGAATTGCTTTTCAGCCAAGACCGGTTTGGCTCAATGGACAGAGCGTCGGCTTGGGGACTGAAAGGTCCCGGGTTCGATTCCGGTCAAGGGCATGTACCTTGGTTGCGGGCATATCCCCAGTAGGGGGTGTGCAAGAGGCAGCCGATCGATGACTCTCTCTCATCGATGTTTCTAACTCTCTATCTCTCTCCCTTCCTCTCTGTACAAAATCAATAAAATATATTTTTTTTAAATTATTGCTTTTCATCAGAAGACTTCATTTGGAAAGTAATGAAGCAAGAATAGATTAGGAAAAGAATTTATAACAAATATATCCAACAAAGATCTTTTATCCAGGACATGCAAAGAATTCCTACAATAATGGAAAGATAAGTGTTTTTCTGCAATGGTAAAAACAGCTTCTCAGAATGATCTGATGTAACACGTGCCTATATTATACTTTAATAAAATATTAAAATGTTTCATGTAAATTAATGAAAGAGGTCTACTTCTGGGCAAAGCTTAAAAGGATGTAAAAAATCAAGAGTGCAGATTTATTATGTTGGTTGGGTTATAGTTACTTTTCTCTTTTATAACTTTGTCTAGATTAAATTACATTTATAGTTCATAGTGTGCGCAAAATTCAGATAAAAAAGTAATTGCAGCTGAAACCGGTTTGGCTCAGTGGGTAGAGCGTCGGCCTGCGGACTGAAAGGTCCCGGGTTCGATTCCAGTCAAGGGCACGTACCTTGGTTGCGGGCACGTTCCCAGTGTGGGGGGGTGTGGGAGGCAACTGATCGATGTTTCTCTCTCATCGATGTTTCTAACTCTCTATCCCTCTCTCTTCCTCTCTGTAAAAAGTCAACAAAATATATTTTTTTAAAAAGCAATTGCATGGAAAAGAAATATTAGCCCCATACAATGGCAGAAGGCATAGTATCCAAGAGCCAGGAGACTTCGGCACCTGCAGAGGATGAAGGCTGAAGCCCAGGGCAGAGAGGCAGCCTTTCCCAGTGGCTAGCAAACGGCTTCCCTCTGGCCCCACACCTCTCTCCGGGGCCCAGCAGATCTTCCCAGGGCTGTGAGCCTCTCAGGCAGGCCAGGCCCAGAGAGGAAAGGCCCATAACTTAGCCTCCTCCACACTTCAGCCTGGGTCAGAGCTGGCGGTCCATCTGCCTGGGACTTAGGTGCAAAGCAGTCCGATGTTCAAGAGGGGCCAGAAAGAGGTTACCCACCACAGGAGTCACAGACGAAGCAATCGGTGTGATACAGGCTCCCCATTGCCTGGCATGCTTGCCTTGCTCCGTAGATACCAAGCCCACACTTGATGCAAATGCCTACGGGAGGAGAGGCAGAAAGAGCAGTGGTTAGCACCACGCCTGTGTGCTGGATAAACATGCATCCAGTTCCCCGGCCTAGTGCCGCCCACCCGCCTGATCGTGGGCAAGTGGACGTCTCGACCTCCATCACAGTGACCAGTGGCTCACACGGGGCAGCGAGGGGCCCACTGCTTAGGGTTTGCTGTGGCTGTTGTTTAGCAGAGCACCTGGCACAGAGCCATCCTGGCCACAAAAATCGTTATGACCTCTGCATTCCTACAGTCATCTGACCCTTCCCCCGTGACCTGCTCTTGGACTAAAGGAAAATCCTTTCTTCAGACTATGGACCAAAAGAATGAAGACCACACAGGCACAACCAGGGCAGAGTCCCGGACGCTCCCCAGCCACGCTGTCCTCATCTGTACCATAAAGTTCATTCATTCTCTGGTTCAGTCCGCACAGCAACAGCGATGCCGGCCACGTGCCTGCACATTGAGATGCAGAGATTCTGCAAAGCACCAACCAAGTCCCCACCTTCAAGGAGCCTGTATTCCAGTGGAGGAAGACGGACAACATCACACAAATAATATCTTAGGAGGAAGCAACAAGTGCTATAGGAAAAAATATACTAATTAAAAATATGTCTGAGAAAAAAGAAAAATATGTCTGTGTGTGTGATTTTTAAGGAGGGCAGTCAGAAAAATCTCTGATGCCCTGGTCAGTTGCTCAGTGGTTAGACCATCAGCCCTTAGATTGAAGGGTCACAGGTTCGATTCCCGGTGAAGGGATTGCAGGTTTGATCCCTGCCCTTCTTGGGGAGTGTGCGGGAGGCAACCAATCAATGTGTCTCTCTCACACTGATGTTTCTTTTTGTCTCCTCTTTCCTCCTTCCTGTCCACTCTCTCTAAAGAGCAATGGAAAAATATCCTCAGGTATCCTCAGGTGAAGATTAAAATAAAATAAAAGGCTCTGGTGAGGTGACACCTGAGCAGGCTTCTGGGAGTACTGGGTGGAATCAGAGACCATCCCTGGCAGCACAGGGTGGACATCCAGCAGTCAGGAGAGGGGTAGTAAAGGGCAGGATAACCAGCCCTAAGGGACTCTCTGACTAGCCCATAGGTGGCCAGCCACACATCTGAAGTCCCTTTCTGCCCTAGTCAGTTTGACTCAGTGGATGGAGCATCAGCCTGCGGACCAAAGGGTCCTGGGTTTGATTCTGGTCAAGGGCATGTGCCTGGGTTGTGGACTCATGTGCCTGGGTTTTAGGGGGCATGCAGGAGGCAGCCAATAGATGATTCTCTCTCATCATTGACATTTCTATCTCTCTCTCCTTCTCCTTTCCTCTCTGAAATCAATAAAGATACATTTTTAAAAAAAGAAAAAGTCCCCTTCTCAGTTACCGAGGGTGTCCCAGGCCCCAAAGGGCCTGAAGACAGGCTCCACCACCCTCTGGACCCAGTCTTCTGGCTGCTCTAGGACATGCTGCCCTCGCCCTCTCCCTCCTGCCTTCGACCAGACCTCTCTCTTTAACCTTTACCCATGAGCAAGCCTCTTCCTTCTTAAAAACTCCCTCCTCCCCATCAGCCATCCCATTTCCCCTTCCTCAGTCACTGAAGCAAGCACGGAAAGAATCCAAGATGGCTGCACAGGTAAACACCTAGCCACAGCCGCACACAAAAATTTCAATAAAATACAACTAAAATATAAAATGGACATTATCCAGAACTACAGGAAAGTTGACTGACTGGAAATTCTACAACGAGAAGCAAGGAGAAAACCAGAAGGAAGCGCGGAGGAGCTGTAAAAGCCAAAGGTACAAAGACACGCGGCACGCGCAGAGAGGACGGAGCAGGAGAGGAGGGCGGCTGAGTGACTGGCTGGTGTTCCCTAGTGGGAAGGAGATAAAAGCTCCGACTGTGCTGGGCCCCAGTTCCGACTGCTCTGAACCCCAGTTCTAGGCCAGACCCTGGGGACCCAGGCTCCCACAGAGGGAGCTGGGCCGTAAGGCAGAATCCCGGGGGAGTGGCGAAAGGTCCCGGAGGCGCGCACATTGTGCGCAGAGAAGGGACGGTTGGCTGTGCCGCGTGATTGCCCTGGCAGGAAGGAGACAAAAGCTCCAGACTGCTCTGAACACTACCTCCAACTCCACTTCCAACTGAACTGAACCCGTTTCGGGCTCATTGGGGGAGATTTTGGCCCCTTCTCTGATTGAGTTCGACACCCCTAGCCTAGACTGTTTGGCAGCAGGCGAAAATCAAGGGCACCTTTCTCTCAGAAGTGCTTGCAGCGATTACTGAAGGACCTGGGGATTACTGAGACTCAGGAACCGCATAGGGCGGGGCTGACGGAAGCCAAAGCTGTAGGCTCCACCCTGAAACTCCGACCCATCAGGGAAGCTGCAAAAATGCCGAGACATCGAAATAGATCACAAATGAAAGAAATGGAGGACAAAAAGCAACTGGATATAGAGTTCAAATCTACGCTTATAAGGTTTTTCAAGAATTTCCTAGAAAAGGCCGATAAGACCTATGAGGATATGAAAAGGGATCAACTAGAATTAATAAGGAATCAACAAGAAATGATAAGGGATCAACAAGAAATAAAGAATATATTGTCTGAAATAAAAAATATTATACAGAGTCCTAAAAACAGAATGGAAGATCTGTTGACAAGAATCAAGTCAAAGATTTGGAACATAAAGAGCCAGAAGACACTCCTCCGCAGAAGCAAGAAGACAAGAGAATCCAGAAAATTGAAAATAATGTAAGAAACCTCTGGACAGCCGAGACCGGTTTGGCTCAATGGATAGAGCGTCGGCTTGGGGACTGAAGGTACCCGGGTTCGATTCCGGTCAAGGGCATGTACCTTGGTTGCGGGCATATCCCCAGTAGGGGGTGTGCCCTACTCTCATCATGTTTCTAATTATCTCTCTCCTTTCCTCTCTGTACAAAATCAATAAAATATATTAAAAAAAAAAAAAAAGAAAGAAACCTCTGGACAACTTCAAGCGAACCAACATCAGAATTATGGGGGTCCTAGAAGATGAGAGAGAGCAAGATATCGAAAACATACTGAAAGAAATAGTGACAGAAAACTTCCCCCACCTGGGGAAAGAATTAGACTTACAAGTCCAGGAAGCACACAGAACTCCAAACAAAAGGAATCCAAAGAGGACCACACCAAGACAAATCATAATTAAAATTCTAAGAGCAAAAGACAAAGAGAGAATATTAAAAGCAGCAAGAACAAAGCAGGTAGTTACCTATAAAGGAGCACCTATACCACATGTGTCAAACACAAGGCCCGCGGGCCAAATCCGTCCCGCCAGGCCTTGCAATGTGGCCCGCACCACGCTGTCATCACTGCACTCCGCTGCGTTTCCATCACAATGACAGTTTATGACTGTTCAGTAAACCATTCAGCCCGTGATTTAGGCTGGATTTTAGATTTTGGCCCCTTCTCTGATTGAGTTCGACACCCCTAACCTATACGATTGTCAGCTGATTTCTCAACAGAAACCATGCAGGCCAGACGGGAATGGCAAGAAATATTCAAGGTGATGAATAGTAAGAACCTACAGCCAAAGATAATCTACCCAGCAAAGCTATCACTCAGAATCGAAGGCCAGATAAAGAGCTTCACTAATAAAAAAAAAAGCTAAAGGAGTTCATCACCACCAAACCAGAATTATATGAATTGCTGAGGGGGGTTCTTTTGGAAGAGAAAGTAAATAAAGATAAAAATTATGAACAACAAATACGTAACTTTCAACAAGTGAATCTAAAAACCAAGGAAATTAAAAAAAAAATCTGATGAACAATATTAACTGTTGAATATAATAGAATCAGAGGTATGGAAGGGGAGTGAACTGACGATTCTTGTGGAAAAGGGGAGAGGGGGATGTGGGAAGAGACTGAACATAAACTGTGCACCTATGGATGAGGACAATGGGGGGTGGGGAAAGGGCAGAGGGTGGGGTGGGAACCTGGTGGAGGAGAGCAATGGAGGGGGGGAAAGGAACATTTGTAATAATATGAACAATAAAAATTTATTTTAAAATAAAATAAAATAAAACATTAAAACAAAAAAAAGAAAGCAAAGCACGCTTAGCCCACACTCAGTCATCTAACTGTGCAAGTCCGTGACTTCCTGTTCAGATATTGCCAGGAGACCTCTCCTCATGGTTTCCAGGAGAGACCTGCACCTGCCTTCTGGTTCCTCTCCCTTCCTGTCCTGTCTTGGGTCACCCATGACTGCTCTCCCAAAGCCATACAGCTCTGAGCAAAAGACAAAGAGAATATGTGTCTTCTGGGTGGCTGGTGGAGACCAGGTGACAGGAGAGCCAGGGCCGCCAGCAGTCGCAGCCATGCCTCGGACCTGCGAACAGTTACCGGGTGGAATGCAGGCCCAGCACCGCTAAAGATTCTAATTTTTCAAGGAAAGTCAGACATATGGATTTGTGTGTAAAATCTTTCCACACTGAAATTAATTCCTAACTTAAATGTTTTGAAAATGCAGCCAAGCAGGCCTCTCTGAGAAGTCCCAGCCCCTCTCCACGCCTCTGCAGAGGGCTCTGCCCCAGCCAGGACCTCTCTCCTCAGTCCCTGCTCCACCTCCCAACGGCCCCCACACCCCTTCAGGTCCAGAACAAAGGTCCAGGGTCCCCACAAAACTGCCCTTGCCCTGGCCAGTTGGGCTCAGTGTATAGAACATTGGCCTGTGGACCAAAGGGTCACGGGTTCGATTCCAATCAAGGACACATTCTTCCGCTGCAGGTTCTCCAGCCCCAGTAGGGACACATGTGGGAAGCAACCAAGCAATGAATCTCTCATTTTAATGTTTCTTTCTCCCTCACATACCCTCCTCCCTCTCTTCCATTCTCCCTAAAAATCAATGGAAAAAATATCCTTGGTTAAGGATTAAAAAATAATGAAAATAAAACTGCTTCTGCCTCTGGTTCCTGCTCAGGAAATGGCACTGTTGGATAGCCAGGTTTCAGGGAGCACCCAGGGATCTCTCTCTCTCTCTCTCTCTCCTCCAACTCTGAATTTGGGCTCCTCTGTTCCCTAATCTTGACTTCATTCCTACCCTCACTCCCACTAGCCTGATTCACCATCATCAGTTCTCATGCCAATGGTTATTTCAACAGCCTCCTCCTGGTGTCCCAGCCTGGCCTCCAAAACACATCCCAAAACGTGCAGCCAGACCTTCTTTCTAAAATGAAAATGACTCACTCTCACACCTTCACTCTTGTCCATGTACTTGAAAGTCTGACCTTGTCACTCCTCTAAGTTGCTGGACTATGTGAAGAAATGGAAGTCAGCTGCCGTGGACCAGCTATGACCTTGCAGCATTAGGTTTTTGGTTCTGTTTGATGTTTTCCTCAATATGTGCCTGCATCACTTTAATAGAAATATTCTGAAGGAGGAGAACCAAAGCGTGAGGTACCTCAGGAATTCAGGGAGCAGAACACGCCAACGGGACGGACTCCCCCTGTGGGATGCCGCAGTGAGGTCCTGGCAAACACCCACTGGGCCGGGAGTCAGCGGGTCACCGAGTGAGGGGATATCAGGGGCGGATAAGCAAAGACGTGCCAACCAGACACTCAGGTGAGAAGATGAACGGCCCACCAGACCCCATGGCCATGTAGCTTTGCGTTTTTTATTTTTAATGAAAGACCTTTCCGTATTTACAACCAAAAGAAAGGGCCAGCGGGGAAAGGAGAGCTGAAGGTGGGGTTGGAGACGAAAGAACCCTCGTCCTCAGATCTGGATGTGCCCTCAGGAGTCTGTGGGGAAAGGAACAGGAAGCCACTCGGGAAGCAAGCTGCTGACCTCCATTTTCTCAGCAAAGTAGGAAAGGCAGGGCTGGAGGAGACAGGAAGCTTCTGAGGGAATGAAAGAGGGACTAAGCAAGGCTTAAGGAGATGGATGGCGCGAAGACCAGGAGACCATCACTCCATTCCCTGGCAGACAGACAGAAGACCGTCACTCTGTCCCCTGGCGGACAGACAGCCAGGAGACCGTCACTCCGTCCCCTGGCGGACAGAGGACAGACAGCCAGGAGACAGTCACTCTGTCCCCTGGCGGACAGACAGCCAGGAGACCATCACTCCGTCCCCTGGCGGACAGAGGACAGACAGCGAGGAGAAAGTCACTCCGTCCCCTGGCGGACAGACAGCGAGGAGACCGTCACTCCGTCCCCTGGCGGACAGAGGACAGACAGCCAGACCGTCACTCCGTCCCCTGGCGGACAGAGGACAGACAGCGAGGAGACCGTCACTCCGTTCCCCGGAGGACAGACAGCCAGGAGACCGTCACTCCGTCCCCTGGCGGGACAGAGGACAGACAGCCAGGGAGACACTATCACTCCGTCCCCCGGCGGACAGAGGACAGACACGCCAGGGAGACCGTCACTCCGTCCCCTGGCAACAAGAACAGACAGCCCAGCGAGACCGTCACTCCGTCCCCTGGCGGACACAGGGACAGACAGCCAGGAGACCGTCACTCCGTCCCCTGCGGACAGAAGAAGACAGACAGGAGACCGACAATCTCCGTCCCCCTGGCGGACAGAGAACAGACAGCCAGGAGACCGTCACTCCGTCCCCTGGTGGACAGACAGCCAGGAGACCGTCACTCCGTCCCCCGGCGGACAGAGGAAGACCCGCCAGAGACCGTCATCGTCCCCCACGGCGGACAGACAGCCAGGAGACCGTCACTCCGTCCCCCGGCGGACAGACAGCCAGGAGACCGTCACTCCGTCCCCTGGTGGACAGACAGCCAGGAGACCGTCACGCGTCCCCCGGCGGACAGAAGACAGACAGCCAGGAGACCGTCACTCCCGTCCCCCCGGCGGACAACAGCCAGGAGAACCGGCACTCCGTCCCCCCTGGTGGACAGACAAGCCCAGGAGACCGGCACCCGTCCCCTGCGGACAGAAGACAGACGCCAGGAGACACGTCACTCGTCCCCCGGAGGACAGAGGACAGCCAGGAGACCGTCACTCCGTCCCCCGGCGGACAGACAGCCAGGAGACCGTCACTCCGTCCCCCGGCGGACAGACAGCCAGGAGACCGTCACTCCGTCCCCCGGCGGACAGAGGACAGACAGCCAGGAGACCGTCACTCCGTCCCCCGGCGTGCAGAGGATAGACAGCGATTAGAGGGGTCAGAGGTCCCAGTGGCATGTAGGCCAGTCAGAACTGAAGACCAAGGGCAGCAAAAACGGGTGTGGCGCTGGGAGGGGTGGCTGAGAAGGCAGAGAGGTCATCTAACTTTCCCAGCCTCCGAGGTTCAGTGGTTGAGCCTCAACCCAGGAACCAAAAGGTCAACAGTTCGATTCTGGTCAGATCACATGCCCAGGTTGTGGGGGGCCATGCAGGAAGCAGCTGATGGGTATTGATGTTTCTCTCTCATCGATGTTTCTATCTCTCTGCCTTCCTCTCTTTCTAAAAATAAATAAAAACATTTGGGGGGGCGGGGGCTCCAGAAGCTTGAGGCTGTTGGCTGGCTAATGGCCATGGAACTTGTTGAGCGATGGGACCGTTCCAAAGACATCAATAACGGCAGAGGGCCCGGGGTCAGTGGTGCCGGTGCCCAGGAGAGGAAGGGATGGCACAGCACGAAGAACACATCCTGAGGACGAGTTTATCAGACATCACCTGAGCTTAGGCTCCCCGCAGACTTCCTTGTATAAGACTTTGTATTACTAAGTTTGAGGAATATAAAATTGCCACTTTTATAGTTCTAAAATGTCAAATATTAGCAGATAAATTTCAGCAGTTGAAGCAAATAGTTGCCCTTTTTTTTTTTTTATCCTTAACAGAGAATATTTTTAATTGACATTTGAGAGAGGAAGGGAGCGAGAGAGAGAAACACCGATCAATTGCCTCCTGAATGTGTCACGACTGGGTGTGTGCCCTGACCAGGAATTGAACCCAAGATATGTTAGTCCACAGAACAATGTTCCAACCTACACTGGCTTCTCTTGAAAAATAAAACCCACAAAGAACTATCCTCATATCATCACTCACCTTCCCCTTCCACGTGGCTTCATGGGCCAGAACTGAGTGGGGCTCCCTTAAGAAAGAGGACCCGCTATCCCCTATGGCCTTGGGCCTTGGGCCCTTCACAGCTCACATCACCCGCCTGGGTGCAGCCACCTCAGCCTCACACACAGACTCGTGTGTAGCTGCGAGGCCCACAGAACACCCCGCTAGTTTCTGCAATGGGCGGGGACAGGAAGATGAACAGCCCTCTGCAGCAGAGCAATGGAAAGTCTCTTTAGAAGACAGTCCCTGCTTTTGCTCCTGGCACCTGCCAGGCAGGAGAGGCAACAGGTTCCTACCTCAGCTCCCTGATGCCAGGCCATGCCACAAAAGCCAGGCCAGAAATTCTCACCTATTGTTCCCAATGAGCCTGAAACCTTTCCACTTTTCCCTCCAAAGGCAGGCCACACGCTCCCTTGCACCTGAGCCCTCCCTCCTGGGCTGCACCCTGGGGAGGGTAGTGGAACAGTCCACATCTTTACTTGCCTTGTCTCCTTTTGCCCACATTCTTCCCTCTCCCTGAAATGCCCCATTTGACCTATCACAGATAGCTCCTCCTCCCTCAGACCCAGTTCAGAGCATCCCCAATGAATGCATGACCCCCAGGGCAGCCTCAGTCCCTGGCAGGACAACCAGTAGCCAGCAACCCTGAAGCTGGGAGCCTCAGCTTTCCTGCTTATCAGTAAGGGAGGGAAGGAAGCACTCTCCCAGGCCTCTGCTCAGAACCTCAAGCCTTCGAGTCCTAAGCACTGTCCAAAGGACTGACAGGGATCTGAGAGGGTCTGGGTTAGACTGGGCAAGAGACTGTCAGAAACTGGTGAGCTTTGCAAAAGCTGCCAAGGATTCTCTTTGGAAACATCCCGTGTACAAAGCACAGCCCAGAAGGAGGCAGCCCATTAGGACTGGCTTGGTCCCCTCTTCCTCAAGGTGGACTCTCCCTCCTTCCCACACGCTACCTCCAACAGCTACCATCATCAGAGCCTCCGACCAAGCGGCCCCGGTGGTACCTGCACCTCCACCGCCCGCTACTGTCCACACCTGCACCGCTGGGGCGAGGAGCGCCGGGCGGGCTGGGTCACAGAGTATCGAGCGGGACTGACAGAGGCAGTGCCAAGGATTAAGAAGAAATGATCGGAAATGGCTCGTTCTGCTTATTAACACGGCTTTTTCTCCCGTTAGGATAAAGGCTTCCATTCACTCCCCCGAGCCCGTCCTCCAGGTGGGAGAGCGAGGCGCGGGCGGCGCTCCCTCTCCCGCCGGCACAGCCCGGCCCGGCCCCGCAGCCGGCCGGCCGCTCACCGAAGTAGTCCCGCGCCGAGCGCGCCTCCAGCGCCCGCTCCAGCTCCCGGGTCAGCGCCTCCAGCCGCCGCTCCGCCGCGCTGGGGCCGCCCTCCCGGCCCGCGGGCAGCGGGAGCGCAGGCAGAGCGAAGGGGGCCGGCCCGACGGGCTCGGGGCAGCGGGTGGCGGCGGGGCCGGCGCCGGGCAGCGGCCAGTCGGCGTAAGCCCCGGCGGAGCCGCGGGAGCCGAGGCTGGACACGCTGGAGCGGGCGCTGCCCGCCGACGGCGGCCCCGGGCCGGGGCGCGGGTCCGAGCGGCCGGAGCGCGGGCTGCCGTGGCGCTGGTCGTAGCCCAGGCTGATGCCGCTGGAGCGGGCGCTGCCGCCGCCGCCGCCGCCGTCCGAGCCCGCCAGGCTGAGCCGCGGGCTGCCCGCCGGCTGCGCGCTCAGCTCGGGGCCGGCCGCGCGCCGCGGGCCGCGCTCCCCGCGGCTCAGTCCGTCCGTCCCGGCCTCGGGGCCGCCGGCGCCGCCCTTCCCCCGGCGGCCCAGCGCCAGCGCCGCCTCGTCCCCGGGCCCGGGCCGCGGCCCCCGCCGCCCCCGGCCCGGAGAGTCGCCGCCCGGCTGCGGCTCCCGCAGGGCCAGCCCGGCCAGGAGCGCGGCCGCCTCGTCCGCGGCCGCCCGGGAGCGCTGCATGGCCCGGCCCGCCGGCCTCGGCGTCACCTCCGCCCGGGCTTCCCGCCGCCGCTCCGGCCGCGCCGCCGCATCGTCCGCCCGAACCGGAGCCCGCCCGGGACCCCCGCGCGGGGCGGGGCGGGGCGGGGCGGGCAGGCGCGGGGCCCGTCGCTCCGCCGGCCACGCTCGGCCCGGGGTCCGCTCCGCGGCGCGCGAGGCGGAGGAATGCGCTCCGAGCGCCGGGCGCGCCCCCTCCTCCCACCGGGCGGAGGGACTCCTTTGTGGGGGCAGGAATGCGAGGAAGGAGACGGCGCTGCGGCCGCTGGAATGTGGGGGAGTGGCGGCGGCGGCGGCGGCGCCCGGAGCGTGGAGGGGCGCAGGCCGGCCGGGCCCTGGGGCGGCGCGGCGGAGACCCTGGAGCCTGCGGACGCCGCTGGCTGAGCTGGCGGCGGCCCCGCAGTCCGGCAGGAGACTTAGGGGCCGCTGACCAAGTTTCCCACGTCCTCCCCTTCTCACTTCCCAGCGACGCCTCACTTCCCGGCGCTTGGCCTTCGGCTGAAGCTCCGCAGCCCATCCAGGACCTGAGGAACTCTGCGCGTCTGGGGCACGCGCGCCACCGGGACCTCGCGTGACCCTACGACCCCCGCCTGTCCCTGGGGCGTGTGGTTGCTCACTAGTTTGAGCCCCACCTGCCGGGGGGGGGGGGGGGGGGTAGCCGGAGGGCGGGAAACCGCCTAATGCCAGGAGCCAGGGTTGGTTGGGGACTGGTCCATGTGCCTGGTCCTTGGGCTCAAGCCCTCGAGGCCAAGCCAGGCTGAAGCAGAACTCAGGCTGAGCCAGTGGACTGATGACCCGCGGCTATGACCACCACATGAAGTCACCAAGAGAAGTGAGGACTCCTTGTTTCTCCAGGACCTGCCCTCAGGGTCTTGGGAGAGGCGCCAAGGGGTTGCTCCTGAAAACACTTGCGCTGCAACAGGTCTGGCCTTGGGGGCCACGTGAGGGATGGAAGAGAGGTGACCAGGGCTTTGTCCCCGAAAACAAATTACAAAGCCCTTGTCATGCATTTCAAACAGCTCATAGAGAAAAGCAAACCACTATCTATCAGGACCTGGTGGATCCAGGAAAACAACCTTGAGTGGATGGGGTCTCTCTTTCCCAGCCTCCCACGCCCGAGAATTCCAGCAAGTGTGGTAGGGAGCCTGGACCAAGAATTGTCCTGGTACAGACTGAGCAGGGTGTGGGGCCTCAACATTGCTGAGGAACCCACTGCGGCCCATTCTCTTCAGCTGGCAGTTGAACAATGTCTCACCCAGCACCTCTCAGAGCTTGCAGAATTCCAACACCTAACACCCACCCCCTAGGCTCAGAGTGAAGGGGGCAGGCACAGGTGGGTTCAAGCATTTGGGGAACTATTATCCAGAGAAGCTACCTAATGAAAAATCATCTGAGAAAGGAAAGACAAATAAAATCAACAATGAGCTATCACATCTCACATTGTCTCCCTTTTAAAAATGGAAATTTTGACAAGACTGTGGTGAAACTTGCCTATACTTTACTGGTAGGAATATATGTTGGTATATCCTGTCAGGAAGAGCAATTTGCTAGTATTAACATTCTCACAAATGAAAACTCTTATAAGCAGTAGTGCTCCAAGAATCTAAGCTAGGGAAGTAATGCAAAATGCAGATAACAATGCAAGCAAAACGTGTTCATCACATCTTTATGTAATCAGTGCGGTACCTGGGTTTCCAGCCTTCTGAAAAGGAGCTCAGAGGGAGCTCTCTGCCCTCAAGGTAGTTCTTAAATAACTGTTCCATCTCCACTGCTCCACCTAAAGCTTCCAAGATCTAAACAATATATTGGAGTTCAGCCAAAACCGGTTTGGCTCAGTGGATAGAGCATCAGCCTGCAGACTGAAGGGTCCCTGGTTCTATTCCGGTCAAGGCCATGTGCCTTGGTTGCGGGCGCATCCCCAGTGGGGGGGGGGGTGCAAGAGGCAGCTGATTGATGACTCTCTCTCATCGATGTTTCTAACTCTCTATTCCTCTCTCTTCCTCTCTGTAAAAAATCAATAAAATATATTAATATATATATATATATATATTGGAGTTCAGGGTCAGCTAAAATGCATTACCCACTCTGATAGTAATAAATAAAAACAACCACCCACAATCAGAAACAGAAACAACCCAAAATAGTTTGCTTTCTCACCTCTGGCCATCTTGTTAGCTATTTTGGTTTAGGGCTATCCAACATCTAAAACGGAAAAATGGTGGCCACAAAGACAAAAAAGACATGGGAGTCAATTAATTCTAGGCTCCAACTGGTTATGAAAAGTGGCAAGAGTACCACTGGTACAAGCAGACTCTGGAGATGATCAGACGAGGCAAAACGAACCTGGTCATCCTCAACAACAGCTTCCCAGGTTTGAGGAAATCTGATAGAGTGCTACCCCATTTGGCCAAAACTGTCCATCACGAGAATAGCAGTAATAAGACTTGGGCACAGTGTGCAGAAAATGCTGAAGTATGCACATGGCTACATTTACACAGTTGATTTTAATGTTATTAGAAGCATGACAGAACAAACTGGTGAGGAGTGAATTATACAAAATGGTCCAGAACTGGCTTAAATAAATAAATAAATAGAATTGTCCTGGCTGGGTGGCTCAATTGATTGTGGATTCAATCCCTGGTCAGGGCTCATACGGAAAAGAGCGAATCACTGTATCTCTCTCACATCAATGTCTCTCTCTCTCTCAAATCAACTTTTTAAAAAGTTTAGATAAATAAATAAAATGTTCATTGTTCAACATTAAAACAAAGTACATACTTCCATGAAGTGGGAAGTACATTAAGCAAGTGTTTATAAATATATTAAAAATACTGAACGGTGTGGGAAGTCATACCATTGTCATGCTAAGTAATACAGAGTACCATTCAAAATGGTGTGGTCTCATCTATACATTACCCAAATGTGTCACACCCCACCTTCTTTTGTAGCCTCACTACAAAATGCTGAGTGTTTTATCTCAATTTGTTAGCTCTTTCCCTCTGAGAAGAACAATCGGGGAGAAGGGAAGACCAGGGGCTGGCGCATAGGGCTTGAAGCACCGTCTGGGCTGGCTGCCCAGCCTCCGCTGATGCCTTCCCTGTCCTCCACTGATACAGGGTTCTCTGTGCTCACCTCTCTCTCTGGCCTTTTTCCTCCTGGGTCCAGGGGTATGCTGGTTTTATCAACCAGTGCTCTGGGAAAGGTTTGTACAAATTAGGAGCTGATTTAAAGCATTTCCAATACCTCCATAGTCAATTTCAAACTACCAGTATGGTATCACTGAACAGAGTTGGGAAGAAATTAGCATAATCAGCATGGAAAAACTAGTATGAGCTGGCTCCAACTACCACCGCCGGGCCCCACCACTGGAGAAAGGAAAGGTTCACAACAGAACTGCTGGGGCTCTGGATCTATCCTCTCAAGTTCACCAAAACCTTCCTTTGTCTAGGCAGGTGGACACACTCAGAGGCTGGCACAGAACATGCTCCATGCAGTCTCACACCATGTCCTGAACCCACATCTTCTCCTTCTAAGGCCCCAGAGGCTTATCCTATCCAGACTGTCCACACTAATGGTGATTTTTTTTAGAGGTTTTGAATCTCTCCTTGTAATCTAACTTCCATCAGACCCCCTTATCTGTCTGTAGTATGTGTATTATCTGGACCCCAATTATGAACACAATTCAGGGGTTTTCCTACAGTCTTGGGATACACTCAGATGTCAATCAAATGTGGCTGGAGAACTGGGTTAACTAGAGTAGTGTGGAATGATCCCAACCATTCCTCCAGGTGGAGTTTGCGATGGAGGAAGTGCTGGGACTACACTTCTTTCTCTCCCCTAAGCTGGCAGCAGTCTTCACCACTGCAATTTTTCCTGGGAGAGCAGCAGTAATCTTTCATCTAAAGCACACTTTGGCCTGGCTGGCAAGAACCAGGAAGTCACTGTTGGATTCCCAGTCAGGCACATACCCGAATTGCAGGCTCTGTCTCTAGTACTGGGCGTGCAGGGGGCAGCCAATCAATGATTCTCTCTCATCATTGGTATTTCTATCTATTTTTCCCTCTCCCTTTCTCTCTAATATCAATAAAAAAATATATTTAAAATATATATAAAGCACCTCTCCCTGCTCAACTCCTAGGAGCTGGTGATCCATACACACACAGCCCCAGACCAAAAATACATTTTCTGCCTGATCCACTGCATGCCCATCCCCTCTTTGGAGGCCCAGCTCTTTCAATCAGAATGAGGCCAAAGTCCCCTGGCCCTGGTATCCCCTTCGGCCCTTCTGGGGACACAGAAGTTTCAATTAATTGGTAGCTGATGCCATTGATGTGTTGGTTCCCCAATCTAAGAATCAGGGTTAAGATCTGACAATTACAGCTTGCTTCCTTCTCCAGGAAGCAAGTAGCCTTTAAACATTTTTATTTTAGAGAGGGAAACATTGACTCATCATGCATTTTTGGTTGCTTCTTATATGTACCCTGATAGGGGATCAAACCCAAAACCTTGGTGTATAGGGATGATGCTCTAACCATTGAGCTACCCTGGGGAGGGTCTGCAAGGGCCATCTTGGAAGAACCCTCTCACTTTCTTGTCCTGAGAGCTTACCCTACACTCAGGAATAGGAATTTCTGCACAAATTTTGTATGAAGCAAAGACCTCACCCAATCTGCAGCATCATGGAGAGAACTGGGACAGTGTGTCAAACACAAGGCCCGCGGGCCAAATCCGTCCCGCCAGGCCTTGCAATGTGGCCCGCACCGTGCTGTCATCACTGCACTCCGCTGCATTTCCATCACAATGACAGTTTATGACTGTTCAGTAAACCATTCGGCCCGCGATTAAGGCTGGATTTTAGATTTTGGCCCCTTCTCTGATTGAGTTCGACACGCCTAGCGTAGAGGATGCTGTTCATGAGTTTCAGTAATGCTGGAAGCTCCTGGTAGGATCAACTGAGAATCTTGGCAACTGAGAGGATGTGGAGCCCCAGATCCCCATTCCACCACCTATTGTTGCCATGAGAAGTTGAGTTTCTTTCGCACACCATCCCTTACAGTGTCTTACAGTTTTCAACAATTTCAAAAATTGCTAGCAGTGATTGAGTATTGATCTATGAACCAGGTCAAGGTTCAATTTGTGGCCAGGGCACATGCTAGGTGCTCGATCTATCCTCTCAA